TCTGAAAAATAGGAGATTTAGACTAGATTTCTCTTACAGTCATTTCCAGCTCCCAATTCTATGAAGCTACATATACTAGGAAATTAAGTAATTTCTCTCAAGAGGGGCACCCCATAGCAAAGAGGATCCTAACCTGGATGGAATTAATTAATAAGCTCCAGACCCTACATACAGAGACATCTTAGTGTATTAGTAAGAGGAGCACTGGGTTTGAAGTCACAGGACCTGGTTTTAAAGCCTCATTCTGCTGCACAAATTACTTCTTTTCAAATGAGCTTTAATTTCTTCATCTGAAAGACAAGGAGACTAGCATTGAATAAACCCATCTAGAAGTCCTATCTAGATCTAAATTCTATGGTGTTCTGAAAAATAAAAAACAATTTCAACACCATTTAGAATAATTATTGTAAATATGCTGTAAAAAGATAAGTTCTCAACAGAATACTTGCTCGTGTATCAATAATTCCCTGGGGGTTTTTTCCCTTCTTTTTATGTAGTACTTTAAGGTTTTGGCAAATTGCTTAACAAATATTATCTCATTTTATCTTCACAACAACTCTGGAAAGTTGGTAATATTATTATTATCCCCATTTTTACATATGAGAAACTGAGACTGACAGAAGTTTAATGACTTGCCAAAGATCAAAAAGCTTATGAGTGTCTGAGGCAAGATAGATGCTCAATCGAAATGTTTAATAATTTCTATATGAAAGTGAGAAAGCAAAGTTTAAACCAAAAGCAAGATGGTCGTTTTCATCGAATGGAAGCCACCTGATCATTCATTCCATCACAAATTTGTATTTATTGAATTTTTCAAGGCTTCTAATTTTCTTAAGAGTAGACTGCAAACTGTAGGACTACCTCTGGTTAATTAATAGACATTTTTACTTTAAAAAATTACATGGAGAGAATAGTAATAGGTATAATAGTTAATTTTATATTTCACTGATTTAAAAACAAAATGTGCAGGGAGTCATGTGGTTGTCTCCCTTCTTTTCCTAAGAGGCCTCATTCTCAGTTCATGAAATGCATGGCCCTTTAACTAAGAATCAGAATTGTTAATAATGACTCTAAATTGAAGAAACACCTTCAGAGTATCATATAAATACATTTATGTCATCAGCAAATAATATATGTGTGATGCAAATATTTATATTTAACTAGAAATGCAATCCTCTTTAAGATACTGCAAAGCACAATCTTGAGCTACTTTACTTGGACTAACAATTACAAGATTAAAAACTGAATGAAATTATGTTCCAATTAAAAGGATGATAATAACTCTTGAGGAAAAAATTGCATATTTTGTGGCTCAAATTTTAATTATATCAATGTCCTCATATTACCTAGTTTGACCATTTCAATATACGCATTGATATTAGATACTAACTACCAAAAATATGCTGATGGAGGGCAGAACAGGTCTTGACCATTCAGATCAATTGAACAGGCCTTCATTAAGCACATACAATGTGCTAGACACAATTAGACACTGGGGGTTGTACTAGATCATAGATTCTTAACTTATTTTGTGTCATGGATCCCTTTGACATTGTGGTGAAGTCTACAGAACCCTTGTTAGGATGATGTTTTTAAATGCATAAAATAGCATATATAAGATCACAGATGAAAGCAATTATACTGAAATACCAAAATATTCTTTAAAAGATTCACCGACCCCACAGTAAGAAGCCCTGGATTATCTAATTAGTAAATTCCTTTTCCAGGACCTCAATATCCTATGATTCTAAATGGTATTGAATCTAATTTCAGTATAAAATTGAGTGAGACAATGTAAATGACAGCATCTTTCAACCAAAAATTGTTATATGACATTTTTGTGAAATGATAGAAAAATCTTACTTAGATGATTAAACTAAAGTTCAGGGGCAACTTGGTTAGCTAAAATACTCAGTAACGACTAAAATGGCAAAAAAAAATCTAGATTTTCCACTTAATCCCCCAAATTGCCCAACAGAAATTCATCTTCAAATGTAACAATTAGTAAACAATTAGAGGCAAGAGAATCTTATATGTCTACAATTATTTGGGTTTTCACTTTTTACTTCCCATTTCATGCATCATAAATTTTGTGGAGTAATATTAGGCAATAATTCAGTTGGTATTAACTACCTACTTCTAATAATTATGTTTCTAGGGATGCTTTTGAGCAGAACCATCTTCATTGAGAAAGAAGTACTATATTTTACTTTACCTGGTGTTTTTTTAGTTGGTTTGGGGGCATAAGTGAATTAAATAGACTGAAGCCAAGATAGGGATTTGGACCTCACTAGCTTTCAGTCATTGATCATAACAGGGATGTTAATGTTATTCTTAATTTATAGCTGTATTTCTTATATTATGAAAAGCTTATTTGCAACTAAATCTAAAGAACAAAGCTGACGGTTAACTCAGGCCCAAAAATGGATCACTTAGCAGTTTGAAGTTTCTAACAATTTCACAAATGAGCATTTTATACACAATTTGTCTTGATAACAGAATATTATGAATGGACATAATAATTTTATGGTATCACAAATATTTTTTAAGGATTATCTATTTTAACATCCAAAAAGCTTGATGCTTTTTTTTTCCCTGACAAAGACTTCATCCTGCTTAATTGAGAGAAAACCAAGAATTTATTATCCATCTCCTTTCTTCCACTCTCAGGGTCACCACACCAATGTCAGCATTCATCTCTTATTTTGTACTATTATAATAACGTCCTAACTGGGTTGTTTGTTTCCATTCTTTTCTTTCTCTAACCCATCTTTCACATAGCTATCCAAATTACAATCTTCAAGAATTGATCGGAACACATTACTCCCCCATTCTAGTATCTCCAATGGCTCCCTACTTTTACTGTAGTTCACTCGTGTCTGACTCTTTGTGACCCCATTTGGGGTTTTCTTGGCAGAGATACTGGTTTGCCATTTCCTTCTCCAGTTCATTTTACAGATGAGGAAACTGAGGCAAACAGGGTTAAGTGATTTGCAGAGGGTCACACAGCAAGTAAGTATCTAAGGCCAGATTTGAACCCAGGAAGACGAATCTTCCTGATTCCAAACCTGTTTTATCTACCGCACTACCTACCTGCCCTGGCTCCCTATTGCCTCTAAGCTAATATGCAAGTCTAGTCATTTAAAGCTATAGATCCATAGGTTTAAAATTTGAATGAACCCCTGAGATTATTTAGTCCAATCCCATTGTTTCTCAGATGAGGAAACTGAGGAAACAGAGAAGTAAAGTGACACATAGCAAGTGACTGAACCTAGGTATAACTAAAGAGAATATCAATAAAACATTTAGATATGGAAGTCCAGATAAACTCTATAAATTATACACAAGTCATATTGCATCCATTCGTATGACAATAGTTAGAATTAAACAGTTAACAAAATGTTATGTTGCATATTACAGGCATATTTTATTTTATTTATCCCAGTTTTATACCCACTCCCACAAGTCCTCAGGCTCTTCAATGATGAATTATATGCCTTATGTGCTATGTGAAAGAGCCATGACAATGAAGTGGTTTTAAAATTTTTGTCCAATTAAAATATAAACCCATATACCTTAAAGTCATTTCTTGCAATTATTCTATGTTTATTTACTTAAAGGGGAAGTAGGGAGGGGCATTTAACACATGAAAAAAGCAAAATGAAACCAAGGTAAGTATGAAAAAATAATTTTAGTCAAGCCTCACTTAACCAAATCTAGACTAAACTCTCAATGTTTAATTCTCATTCAAAATTCACTCACTTGTCTAAACCTCTAAGTAACCAACATACTCTCTTTCAAATGAACAAGGCTAATTTTATGTCCAGCAATAAAATAATACCAAAATCCAGTGATTGATTGTTTTAAAAAAAAATAATCTAATTATAGGCCTGGACTAATCAAGTTTTTAAAATGCACATAACTTACATCCAAAGGCTGTAATCCAAAATTTATGAAATGTTGCATGGTATTACAAAAGGAAATAAATATAGCAGAAACATACTAAACATGTTTGTCTCCTAAAGAGACTACTAAAATCTCTGCTACAAGAAAACATTTAGTTGTGGCATATAAAATGTTTAAAAATCACAAATAATTTGTAATTAAGTTGTTCACATTCCCCAACCTTGCCCTTAACATTTTAATTTAAATAAATACTTTTGCTCTAAATTTCTATCCACAATTTGATGTTTCCTTGAAGCACAAATGCTCCAGTAGGCAGGAAACATTTTCTCTTTAAAGATTACATAACTTCCTTTTCCCAATAATGCTACTACAAGCTAATATCTTAGTGACTTTAAATCAAAATTACAGCAACTGCAGGGGAAAAAAAAAGGAATGAGACTACTAAACATTCATTTTCAGCAAGGAATGGGCACTTTACATCTCAACTTCCAGAGAAAAGCAACTCAGGAATGACTTCACGAATAAATTATCACAGCAACTATAAAATACCAGCTACTTCACGTTAATCCAAAGCACACACTTCAGTTTCATACCGTTGTTAAATACAATTATGCCGTCTTACTCATAAAAGTAAACAAAAAAAAAAAAAAAATACAGCACCGGCTGAGGCACGAACTAAAGAGCTGCAAAGTGCTCGAACTTTGATCAATTTTCCTAATTCTCACACCCCACTGCGGAGAGAAAGCATCAAACACAAGCTTGTGACAGGGGATGAATTCCCCTCAGCTACCAGGGAAAGAGACAACAGCAAGTTCTGTCGGGGGGGCGGAAAGTCTTTCTACAAAGACTTCAGTAGCACCGCCCCCTCCCCCCCCAAAAAGAACACAACTCATAAAGAACAATCTCTCACCACCCCCTTAACTCCATTCATTTGCTTCTCATTTCCCTTCCATGGGTTACTTTTTGGGTAACCAAAAGAGCTGTTGAAATAGATTTCCAATGCTAGGGGGTGGGGTGGGGTGGGGTGAGGGGTGTGGGGGCTCTGAAGTTGTCAGTTCTATCTATCAGAAATAATTTTTAAAAGAAACACCTACATGTTTTCCATTGCAGAGGAGATTTAACAAAGTAATCCACAATCAAGATGGGGTCTGCGTCCCTCCCCCCCAAAAAAAGATTATTCTCCTGGACACCTTTCAAAAAAAAAAATCCGGCAAACGTTATCTTCACCGTGGCAGAGGATGCACCAGCGACCACAACCTGCAGCGAGTCAAACGCAGCCCCACGCGGCTCCAGAAGTAGCAGCAGCCGGAGGATGAACTGGGGCTTTTTAATAACCTATGAAACCCAAGGCTCGGGCCCACCCCCTAGACTGTCCTACTTTGCAGGAGACTTGGGGCATGCGGACTGCTCCCTTCGGAGAGCAAAGGTCTGGAGGCGGGAGAGAGCCAAAATAGAGAAATGAGGGAAGGAGGTGGTTAGAGTCCGGTGAAATCTGCACACTGAACAACGCACCCTGGAGTCTTGAGGAATCAAGAGCCACCCCCAGAAAGAGAGGAATTGGGGGAGGGCCGGGGCGCCGAGCAGGGAGCACCCCTCCCCACTCAGGCTCGGTTCTCAAGGGTCCTCCCAGAAAAGGGACGAAACATGGACGTGCTGAGCGAGCAAGGCTGCCCTCCCTCTAATGCGCAGCGCATCTTCACCTCTCCAGCTGAACGATCTTGGCCTCCTGGCGCTCGCGCTCGCGCTCCGGCTCGGGCTCGCGCTCCGGCTCGGGCTCGCGCTCC